TGCAATGTCATTTCAAGGTTAAACTTTTTTTCTTTAAGTAACTGCACTGATTGAAGAAGAGTCTCCTGTTCAGATTTTGTTATGTTTTCTTTTTCTTTCAGTTGCCTTATTTCAACCTGATTTTGTACAAGTTCTTTTTCAAGTGAGGTTTTTTCTTGTATAAGCTGGGCTGTTTTTGTTTCTAGTTTCTGATTTGTTTCTCGTAAGACCAAAGATTCCTTTTGCAAAGAATCCAGTACCACAGTGTGTTTATCTTTTTCAGCAGTAGCAGCGATCATCTGTTCTTGTGCTTCCTGATTCTTAATTTTAAAGTCGTCTAATGCTTTCCTCATACATTGGTTTTCAATACAGAGTTGGCTCCTCTCTTCTTGGAGAGTTTTCTTTTGGTTCTGAAATTCTTTACATTTTCGTAACAACCTTTTCACTTCTTTAATACATTCCTTGCTGTCTTCTTCTGATTTAACTAATCTGACTTTCATGTTTTGCTTTTCTACAGCCAGAGCTTTAATTTGCTTTTCATATTTTGAGTTTTTTTCTCTCAGAGACTGTATGATAACAGTAAGATGTTTCACGTCTGCCTTGAAAGTTATGTTTTCATTCTCAAGCTGCAGCATTTTATTTTGCAAGTGTTCAGAATATTTAAAGGAATTTTGTGACACTTCAATTTTTTCAGAGTACTCTGACGCAGGTTTGATTTCACTGAATTTAGGATTTCCAGGGTCTAGTATTCTTTGGCTTAGTATGTGCAGTTGGTCTTCTTTTTCTCTCTGCAGTTGTTCTATGTGATCAAGCATTTGTAACTTATCCTTTATAGTTTTGGAAAAGACATCGAACTGGAACCCTTCAACGCCATTGTCAGTACTATAAAATTCATTTTTGTTTTTGCTTTCAGCTTCTTCTTGGGTACTGCATGTACTTTTAAGGGCAAAAGTCCATAAGTTTTCATATTCTGATTCTTTATTAAATTCTTTATCAAGATTTAGATTATTTCCTTGAAGAGAAACCAGTGTAATATGTGATTTGTCTACTGTTTCTTCAGGTTTTGAAATTTCTATTGATTTTGAGTCCTCACTTAATTTTTTGGAAGATAAAAACAGAGTTGATATTTTGGGCTCTTGTTTTAGCATATATTCAGAATCATTATATTGACTATAGGAAACATTCTGAAGTTCAGATGCATGTCCTAGTTCCTGTCCATGAGGCTTTTGGAGTTCTTCTTTCAACTGGTTGGTAGAATAGTTAAAGTCTGTTAAATGAAGTTCATCGTTATATTTGAGGAAAGTCAAGGGAGCTTTAGGTTCATCCAAAATTAATTTATCATTAGCAGGAGTAATAGTTTCAGCTTCTATACTAGTGCAAGGTAGAAAATATTTAGGTTTGGCAAAATCCTTCAAAAAATATTCATTTTTTAGAGTATTCATGGTTTTGATTTCATTTGGTCCTAATGGTTTCTCAATCTTTCCTGCTGTTAAAGTTTTTAGTGAAATCTGATGAGAAATATTTACATCACTGACCACATTTCCAAGGAAAATATTAGAACTTGCCTCCAGGGGCTGATGGGTGCAGAGTTTCTGATCGTACTGAAATTCCTTCATAGAAAATGGTGATTGTGGACTCTCTGTAAACTAGAATAACCCAATAATAATCATTCTATAAAGACTGTTTACAATTCTCGAGGCAAAAGCCAGCCAAATGGTTGCCAAGTTTATGATACATCACGTAGAACTAGTAGAGATTATATATACTAATACTATTACTCTCTCTAACGTAAGGAAAGGAAAATGAGTAAGAACAGATTTGAGTATGTCAATAAATTTAAGAAACTATATTATGAGCCATAATTCATTTGTTTTCTTCCTGGAGTCTACCAATATTTGTTAAGATGCTTAAATGTTTTTAGACGGCAAACATTTGTATCAGAACCTAGAGAAGGTTGTTTTAGAAAAAGGGCCTATTCCATGGCCTGTTTTTTCCAATGACCCTTATCAGGATTGGAATAAGCTAAAGTACTGACTTAGCCCACTGAGTTCCCTAGGGACATTTGCAGCTGGGGAAAGACTAGTTAACTAGTGAGCTAAGAGTCTTTTGAGGTCAAATGTCCGCTCATGCCTAACAGCTTATTGGACCAGAATGGTTAGGGAACCCACAGAACCCATGACAATCCTGTAATGCAACCAGGATTTGGTTCTGAGTCTATGTAATGGTTTACACATCATGCTACAGAAGTAAATCCATCTATCTGACCATCCCACCTCATTTACTTTAAAAGGAGTTGTTCACTGAATAGAATCTAGGGCTTCAACATAGTTTGGATGACCTGGTTAAAGTCTTATATACAACAAAAAGGAACAGAGCTTTCACTAGATTGGAGAAAAGCCTTGTTAAGTCTCTCAGCCTGGCTTTATCTTCCCAGTTGACTTAAATAACAGTTCTTTTAAGACAGAATTATGGTGATGTCATGTAAATATATATTTTTAGTGAGGAAGTTTTTGTGGCTTCTTTTCATGTACAGAATAACCCTTAGCTTTGGTTACAGTGCTTTATAGCAAACGGAATTATCAAGAACAGCAGTCCAGCACAATCTTTTTATATATAACTTCTTCAGCAGTAAGGATAAGGTAACGTACCACAGGTGTTTTGGCAGGTGAACTAGTCATCAGAAACTCTTTTGAGCTACCCTGTGAAGTTTTCACATCAACTACATTCTTGTTCAGTATTTCACTGATTTCAGACTGTACCTGAAAAAGAGAAGTATTAAGACTGTTTTTCTTTCAAAGACATACATGAAACCATACATGCAGAAATATTTCATTTTTGGAAGATAACTTGTCAACAAAGGGTTTGTTTTTCTCCTCACATGAAAGATAGGTTAGACAGCAGTGCACTGCTTTGCCCTGACATATGAGAATGAAAATTGTTAATTGCACTGCAACTACCCTTGAAAAATAAAATTAAGTGTATATGTAAGTCTGTGCAGCACTGGAGTCTTAGATTTTTACATTACAAAATGAGGTACAATTATTGAAAGGGCAGAAAACTGTTCCTGTAATAGTGGCTCACTATCTGGGGGATATGGCAGTTTAAAACTACAGGATGGATTCTGCTTTTGCTTATGCTAATGTAAGTCAGGAGTAACTTCTTTGAAGTCAATGGAGTAACTTCTTTATGCCAAAGCAAATGAAAGAAGAAACTGATCCTGTCTCTTTTTCTATGTCACCATTTCCTTTTCCTACAATGGCCTGTTTTCAGGTACTGCTTGTCAATCAGATCCTACAGTGACTGGAGCAGTACAAAGTCATAGACAGACAGAATAAACTACTTTCTGGTGATCACCATACATTAAATTTATATAAGTGCACATTTAACATGTACAGTAAGCTCAAAATAGCAATAGTAAGCCAAATGTTGAATTGGCTTGCTTGGTCCAGTGTTTTGGATAAAATATATTTTGGCTCTTGACAATACTTTGTATCAATGGCTATGTGTATTTACTTTATAAGACTTAGGAAATTCATTTTCAGCAAATCAGTGTAACTTCTGTTTTTTTAATAAGCACCTATTATTAAAAAGCTATTTTATTTTATCAAGTTTTGGCAAAATAAAGATGTGTTTGATTTTTTTGCATTAGTTAAAATACTAAGGACAGAATCTAAAAACTAGGAGAGTATGCTGAGTTTTAGATCAAAGTTTTTTTCCCTTATTGTATATATACTTTAGGTTCTGCTTTTACCATGTTAACATTCTCCAGAGTCTGTTGCCGAAGTGCCTGAAATGAATCCAGCTGTTGTTGAAAGATCTAAAAACAAAAAAGTTAAGAAGGTTTTACACATCAAGATGAGCTGGCAAAATTCTCCCTATCATTTCCCCTTCCAGTTCAGTCCTGCCAGTTTCAATCTGGCCTCAGTAACTAGCCATTTAAGCTAAGTACAGACAGATAAAAGCCTGAGGCTGAATTGACTCAGTCTTTGTAGGTTAGTCTAAGCTAACAAATAAGCAAATGAACAGACATTCACTTTTGATTCAGGAAATGCAGCCACATTCCTGCAGTAGCTCAAGACAGAAGCCAGGGGGCACTATAGCACAGTTCTCTAACATGTAGCCAGCATGGGCTGTGTGTTTGCTTCCTCTTCCTATTGCTCCTGAGGTCTCTAGGATTTGCAGTCCAGACGTACAGTAGGAGGACTCTGGAGGTTTGCTTTCATTTCCTCTTCCTGCTGCCTCTGGGATTTGTAGTCTACAGTCACAGCCAGCACTAAATAAGCAGGGCAGGGCAGCTCTGTACTTGGGAGAAGAGAAATTTACCCCCCCTCTCTGGCTCCAGCCCCCAGCAAGGGTTTACCTGGGCGGGAGGGGGGGGGCAGTGGGCCAGTTCTCACTGTTCCAGCTAGGGAGCAAGAGGGGCAGGGCCAGTCCTGCTTTCTGGAGCAGATAGCCCAGCCTAGCCAAGGGCTGCAAAATGTTGGGATGCTGGAAGATTGATTTAACTTAAACAAGGAAGAGGTCTGGGACAGAAGTTGCATAAACTGGTTTGACCCAAGTCAGTTAAGTCTGATACTACATTCAACCAGGTTTACCCTAAACTGATTTCAGCCGTTTTGAAACTGGCTTATATGAGCTGAACTTCTATTCTGTTACAGGTTTAAACCTGTTTTTCACCATTTAAACCAGTTTATATGTAACTTCTTTCTCTAGCCTCAATGGCTAGTTATTGGTGTATTTGAAATTATTTGTGGGTTCCAGTATAATTCTTAGTATGTAGTTAGCCACAACACAAAATTGCCATTACAGTTAATATTAACCAGTATCTCACTGTCAGGGTGAGCAGTGAGGCTTGAGGAATGAACTCCCTTTTCACTTCTAGAGATGATCTCTCAAAATCAAAACTAGGCATATTGGTAGTGCAGTATATGGAAGTTCATGCTGCCTATAATCTATACCGGGTGATAAAAAGGGAATATAACTCTTCTGCTCCATGAAACCACCATTACCTTTCCCAAGATCTAAAAAGATTTGAAAGAAAAAGAATATAGTGTATGTCCTGCTGCACAGAATGCAGAATTCTTTTTTGATATTAATCTCAATTTAATTCCTTTGCATCTGGTAAAGAAAATGTACAGGTATGTGGCAAAGTATTCCTAATTTCCCACCCTTTTTGCTGTGGATGAAAGGGTAAAATGAGGGAAAGAGACACTGTATCTATGACATGGTTTAAATAACCTTAAAACAAGGTACAGACTATCACTTTTTTTTTTAAAGGAGAACTTCAGTTGAAATGCTGGGGGGTTGCAAACTGCAGTTAGTCTTAAATTCTATCAGCAAACTGAACTTCTTGTAAAACAGCAATAAAATAATAGCTTTTATTGGGTGCCATTAACTCTACACACAATTATGGATGTATTGAAACAAATAAACAATGGAGTCACATATATTATACTCTAACTTGTGCATTCTTTGTGAAAGTAGAAGAGATCGACTGAATGTTAATGATGTGGGCTAGTGAGCCTGTGGTGTGGGCTAGTGAGCCTCTGATGCTTGCAACTGTTGTAGCCCTACGATAAGGCTTCTTTAATTATAACTGGTAGCTTGGTCTGTTCCTGCTGCTGAGGCATAGGGCATAAGATACAAGCCAAGTCGTTGGGGGCCTCTCTGCTGTCACATGATTAAACAGGCAATCTAGTGGAGAGACTTATTAGACAGTCAGATAAATATACGGTGGTGAAATCCTGCTAGGCAAATATGAATGTCCCTTTTTTAGGTCTGGTTGCTTTAGTAATGTGTAATTCCCATGCCTAATTCTTATGCATTTATCTATGGTGAAATTAAACTTCAAAAACTTGTGGTGTTTAGTTTTAATCAAAACCAAAATAACTTACTTTTAATGCTGATTGTGGCTGGATTTGAATTTCTGTTCCTGATGTATATTTATCTAAAAATAAAAGCAAGAAACCTTCAGTTATAGCACCTACAGTTCACTAGCAGACATGAAAAATCTCTAGACAAATACCACTGTGATAGAGGAACAAAATCACCTCTGCACTGGGCCTAGGAATGAGGACAAATGGCTTAATGTCCTTTACTATTTTAAACTTGGTTTGGGGATGGGGGGAGGAATGGGTATTTTACTTCCTGGTATAGGACAGGAATGATACAACTATGATTTGAGAATGGTCTGGTTGTTTCCATGTGAAAAAAAGTTCCCAACACAGGATGATGAAAGCAGGGAAAGGTGAGAGATGTGTCCCAGGTCACACCCCTCCCAGAAATGCTATCAATCCTACTTGCTCTTAGACCACGGGTGGGCAATTATTTTGGGTGGAGGGCCGCATACTAAGTTTTGGCAAGCCATTGAGGGCCGCATGACAGGCAGCCAGTGGCAGATAAATATTAATTTTCTAATTTTTTTAGGGGCCCCGCAGGCCGGATAGAATAGGCTGGCGGGCTGCATTTTGCCCACCCCGTCTTAGACAAACTAGAGAGTATGTCAGCTGATTTCTGTAGGGTCCCTTCATTCAGCTGCATGCTGCTGATGCAGGAGTGTAACTGAGGAAGAAGGGTAAGTGAGGCATCTGCCCTGGGCTCTGTCATAGAGGGAGCACCAGACTGCCCCCCTCCATTTTTGCAGCTCAGTCACAGCAGGTGAACCCAGACATCAAAGCCAGGCAGTCCCTATACCCAGTAGTGTGCATGGGGGACAGGTCAAGTGGAATGGCACCCACCTGGGATTTTTGCCACAGGAGGTGCAGTAATGTACTGTGGGGGGCGGGGCGGGAAGACATGGGAGCAAACAAGGCACCAGGAAAAGCCCCATGGGAGCCTGCACTATGGAGCTATTGCAGCTGAGCCCTGCATGCTGGCTGCAGCAGCTCTCCGTGGCTGTCCCTGGTGCCTTGTTTGCTTCCCACTGCCTCCACCTTACGTACTCCACAGGGCACATGGCTGCCAGGCCTTCTAAGGCTGTGCTGTGCCTGCTATAGCAAAGACTTTGGGGTGGGGGGGAGGGAGAATTTTGGTGCCCTTGGCTGAAGTTGGCACACACCAAACTTGTGTTTCAGCTGCAGCAGCAGCTGCCAGTGCAGCGAGAGCCAGGGCAAGTAACACCCCACCAGGTTCTCCGGTGTTCGTCAGCGCTCTACGCAGGGCACTGTGGGAGCTTGCTGGGCCTGTGCAGGAAACAGGAGAATGAAGGGGGGGAGTGGCACAGACTCATCTCCTGAGGAGCATGCTCTCATGTCCCTTGATAAAAGCTTGCCTGTTTCACTCTGCTCTGGGAGGAATGTCACCATAGAATCGTGGTTCCCAGTCTTTCTTGGCTGGGGCCTCACTTGCAGGCATGTGACCCAACATTCATTCACCACAGCTTGTGCCTCCAGTTCTGATCTAACATCACAGCACATTATGGTATGGGGAATGTGATGACATCACAGCACATTCTGTTGTAAGTATGTGATGACATCATAGCTCCTCAGTGTCGGGATGCAATGGCATCATTGTATCCTGGCATGACATCGCAGTGCACGATGGTGCCTTCCTGGATCTGGGGCAAGAAGATGGCTCTCACCTGGCTGCACCTGTTCACAGCCTGGCAGGATCCCAGAGGCAGTGGTGTCCCCGGCTGGGTCCGACTCCTCCTGTGCCACACAGCCATCCTCCGAAACTGCGTCCGCCCACGCCACTTCTGGACATGTCCGTGTATGTGACTTGCGGTACCCGCCCCCTAGCCTCATCCCGTGCCGAGCCCACCTGCACCCACTCCCAACTGCGGCTGCCACCTGAGCAGCGCTCAGCTTCTCTGCGTTGCTAGGCAACGATTGTGTGTAGGCGGCAAGGCCAGGCAGGCACCTCCGCACTCCCAGTGTTGGCAGTGTACACCAGCGCCCCCTGGGGGCCAGGAGGGACGCTGTCACCCAGTGAACAGCTGGGGCAGTGGCACCTCCTGGCAGGGCCTTGAGACCCAGCAGGGTTTGCTGGAGGGTTGTGCAGTATAGACGTGCCCATGGAGCAATGCAGCACACCATTTTGCAGTGCACTGGGGGCACAAGCCCCATCCTCCCCCTCCAGAAAACATGGCAGCTCTTACCCGCTGCAGACCCCAGGGAAACTGTTGGGGAGCAAAACTGAGGCACGGGATAGGTCTGATTATAAGTGTTTTCCCCCTCCCCAAGAACCATGGGAATCCCAGGCTACTTACCTGCAAGGTTGCCCTAGGTTTGGGGGAAAAGGATCTTAATGAAAAGATGACCCTGGCTGGAACCCCGAGGGGCTGGCCAGCATCTGGTCATCTGCCCCTTTGCAGAGTGTCACCTGCTCCGCTGCCCGCTGGCCAGAGCAGATGACCCTGCAGTGAACCTGAAGGCCAGAGGCCTGCAGTGTACCTGAAGGCCTATGGGGCAAAGGGTCATTGGTTCTGGCAGGCTTGGGTCATGCAAAGAAGGGGCACAATGGCTGGGTGACTCGGCACCCTCCTGTTCCTGGTGATCTCCAGGGTCTGCTCCTTAGAGCAGGAGGCAAGCAGGGTAGGATCCCAGAAGCCTAAAGAGCCCTGTAGCAAGCTGAGACTTTCAAACCCCCTGGCTTCACTACTGAGAGCTGAGAAAGTAACCTTGACTCCCCAGCTCTGAGACGGGTCACCACCGGAGCTACAAGTGAGGACACAGCTCACAAGGTGGCTGGCAAGAAACCAGGTGGAGTTAGATACACTTTAGAAATGTGGACATTATATGTGTGTGTATATAAATGTGGACATATATATACAGTGTATGTGTGGAGTGTGTGTGTGTGTGTGTGTGTGTGTGTATATATATATATATATATATATATATAAAAGCATGGACATTTATTTATATATATATATATACATATATGTATACACACACTCCACACACACCCACATATATCTGTATACACTATTCAATTATTTTGCAGTGAGCTGTGCTTTTATTATTTGGAAAGACCAGTGCTCCTGAAAATTTCTAGCTCTGAATTTAAAAAAAAATTCTCATGGTAAATGGTTGTTTATTTTGATATTTTTAGTCCATTTAACCTTTGGGACCTTTCCTTGGTTATTTGAGTCTCCTGTGGGATTTATAAGGGCAACAGCAGTTCAAGGATTTTATCTGTTGTTCAGTCATATTTGGAGAAAAAAAGCATTTCCTAAAACTAACCTGAAAATGCAAGCCTGACGTGCAGTCAGTTTATAATTGGAGCAATACAGTAAGTAAAAAATATCTAGAAAAAACTGGAACCAGTTACTGGATGGTAATCTATAGGCCTTGTCATGGGTTCGTTTGAAACAGTTGCAACTCATTGGAATGTTGTGACATATTAAAGTAAATATGTTCGGAGATAACCCTTGCTTGAAAGGGAGCAACTTCGCAGTGCTGTGCATTGCCTTCAGTGGAGTACCTCTTGAATTACATAGATGTAAGGGAGAGCAGAATTAAGCCTGTTGTTGTTAGTGAGATAACAGCAGGTATAATAGAGGGAAGAATTTTCCCCCAAAGTCTCAATTACAGTTTATTAATAGTTATAGGTTTTAATAAATCATTTATGTATAAATTTATATTGTAAATAAAGTTCTTCAGTTTTGTGTTCAAGCATTATGCCAAGGGCAAATAATTACTATTAGGTTGAACAAATTACCAACCTATCTAAGAAATGATTTTATGATATGAAATATCGGTGAGGAAGTTAGGGGGCTGTGCTACAGAGCAAGATAGCAGGAAGTAAAACAGTTGCTTAGGTTGATGATATTAATAAAGTTCTGGGCCTTGTGGAAGTAAAGTGAGTTGAAATCAGTGGCTTTTGGTTCTTGTCTTTAGGAACATGGTTCTAAGTCCTAAATGTACCTATCAGTTGGTAGTCATAGCGATTCCCTGAGTGTACTACTTGCTAAGATGATCCACAACAGAAATTACAAATGATGATACTAAAGAGCATTACTGTGAAATAGAAAAGCTCCTTGGAAGTAACTTCTTTAGTAACTTTTTAGGTGATACCTGTCCATTCTAGTTTTGCCCAAGAGACCCCCTAAGCTTCTGGTAGAACGGTAGAACAGTGAAGTCCACGCATGCACCATATGACTAGAGGTGAGAAGTTTCTAGAGGGTTTGAACTCTCAACCTTGATGAAGTCATGACCTGCTTTTAAGGTCTGGGCATGCACAGTGTATAATGGTAATGCAACTGTTTAGCAATGTTGATATGTTAATTATGATAATGTTGTTTGTATGGAGTTGAAACAGTTTGAATTGATTGGTCTTTTTAAGTATTGCCCAGGTTTGAATTTGATTGGGTATTGTGCAAAAAGCAATGATTGGACCATTGGGTGAGTGACAGGTGGTCATAAATCCTGTCCAGAGCAGCCAGCAGGAGCTCTGGGAGCATAGGCTCTGGCTCGGGCTCACTCTCACTCTGACTGGACAGTCCTGACTCTGGGCTCTCAGGGGGCAGGAGTTTGTTGAACGCAGGTTCCTTGCTGTGACCTGGTCGTTGGGAGTGAGCTTGCTGAGGCTGACCTGTCTCGCGCTCTTCCCTTTGGGCTTCAGCTGTGGAAGTTGCAGTTGGGTAAAGTATCACCTTTCCCTATTTGAGGTGCTGAGTATCTAAGTATGGAAAAGCTAGAAATCCTCAGGGACTGTCAGAGGGCTTCTCCTGCTGACTAGGACCAGGGTGTTCTTGCTGCCATCTGTGGTTTCTGGGTTGTCTGTGAAATTGTACAGCAGTTAACTGTGTAGTGACTAAAGCTCATTGTAACGTGTAGTTGATTGGTTATTGTAACAGGGTTCTCACTGAGACCCTGCTGTTAAGGAAAAGAGAGGCAGTTGGAAATAATTACACCATGAGGAGGGCGGGCCCCTGGCCCTAAGGAGCCAATGGTGGCTAAACCCCGGAGGATAAAAAGGAGAGGAAGAGGAAAGGTGCCTTCGGGCACCCCAGAGAGTGAGAGAGAGAGGAGGAGCTGCAAGAGAGATCCCCCCCGAGGGAAGGATCTGGGAAGAGAGACACTGGCGCAGGATCAGAGGGATTGCAGAACCCAGACTTCACCTTATCTTACCTTGACTCTACCAGAGCAGCGGTGAGTGCAGGGAGAAGTGGGACTGTACTGCGGGCTGGAGCTGCAGCCAGCATTCAAGATTGGGGACAACGTTGAGTCAGATGGGCAGTGGGAGGGATTACCCCCACCCAGACCCCTGAAGAGTCCGGGTGACTCCAGGACCCCGAGGGAAAAGGGATACCGAGGGCTGAGCAAGCAAGCCCTGACCGTGGGAGGGCTGTGGAGCCTGCATGCTGAAGCCACACTACAAAAGAAGATAAGCAGCCTGTGTGTAACAAGCTGCTAATTGGTCAATTAGCAGCAGGAATTGAACAAAAAGAAACCTTTCTTTTTTTCTCTTTTTTACTTTCTTTCAGTTAAGGGGGGGGAAGCGGGCTAGGACTCAGGAAAGACAGAGAAGCCCAGAGACTCCCTTCGCTGGGCAGAGGTTCAAAAAGAGACCCTGTGGACCTTGATTCTTCAGTGACGACAAGCAAGTAGGCACACTACTGCACTTACTATTCCAAGTAAGGGGCCAGAGGTCCTCTGCTGAGAACAGAGAGTGACCCAGCTGGGATTCAGGATTAACCCTTCCGACTGTGATTCACCTCCCCCCTTAAAGGAGAATTTCCCGTTAAACTTGCAAACCACTGAATAAAATCTTAAAGGAGAAAACCAAGTTATTCCAGTGTGGTGCTTCCTATGGGGACTTCCTTGGGTAACAATCACTTCCTCCCTATTTTTATTTCTTTAAGATCCAAGTCATGGTAGGCGGGAAACACGAGGATAGAGGGCGTACTCCATGGACACGCTGACAAAGTGGTGCATTGGCCGGAAAATCAGACAGCGGGCTGGACGTCATGGAGGCTCAGCTGCCAACCGACGTGCAACAGATGCAAAACCTCATGCTGAGACTTCTACAGGGTCAACAGGCTCACTCAGAGGAAATGGTGAGAATGCGGAGCCAGGAGACGCAGCTGTGGGCCCAGCAGCAGGACCTGTGTGAGCAGGTTGCTGCCATGCAGGCTTCCGGTGTATGAGAGGGGGGCAGGCCAGGACTGCCTCAGATGACAAAGGAGAATGATGCAGGAGACCTACTTAGAGGCATTCAAATGGGTGGCAATGACAGAAAAATGGGACCCAGAGAGTTGGGCTGTAAAGTTGGGGCCCTTACTCACTGGCCCAGCCCAGGCTGCGTATCGAGGCCTCAGTAGGACCGAGGACCAAGATTATGCGAAGGTGAAAGACGCAATACTATACTGATTAGAGATCTCCCAGGAAACTTACAGACGTAAGTTTTGAGCCAAGAAGGGACCTGAAAGGATCCGACCATGACTATTAGTCCAGACACTTAGGGACTTGGCTGACCGATGGCTAAGACTGGAGAAGCACATGTCTTGAGAGATTATAGATAAGATTGTGCTCGAGCAATTTGTAACAGACCTCATAGGTGGTACTCAACACTGGGTCCGGTGTCACCAACCTAAGATCATCGAGGAGGCACTCCGCTTGGCCGAAGACTAGGCCACTGTGGAAGAAGAAAAGGAGGTACCCCAGAGAGAAAGAAACAGTGGGCCTTCTCTGACCACCGGACCAAACACTGTAATCACTCCAAGACGGGGAGAATCTACCTGAAGAGAAATGCGCTCGGGAGGTTACTCAGAAGTAAGATGCTTCCAATGTGGGGAAAAAGGGCACATTTCCCGTTT